AAATCTGGCACTTATGAAAGATAGGGTTCGATAGGAAATACTTTCAGTGCACTTTTAAAAATATAATGATTCATTTAGGTTGTTTTGGTTTGGTTTCTTGTCTAATAAACAAGTATCTCCCCACTTACCTCACCCTTCCTCTGACTGTCAAACAGGAATACAGTCTTTCTTTGTATCACTGCATTAATAATGGTTCTTGACTAGCCAGAAAGGTAGCTACACCACACACTAGACAGACAGTACAGTGGTGAAAGGCACCAGCTGTGTTCTCCACAGTGACTGTGGCTAAGGGCTGACTAATTGAAAGAGTTGGCAAGTTTCCATTAGATTCCATGGCTTCTGGCACAGATCACGAAATCTTTTAAATTCTTCAGAAGCTGACACTATTTGGCCTCTGTTATGCTCACATGCTTTTGTCTCTGCTGAAGAACAACTGTTTACCATATCATAATTTGGGATTTTGATGGAATTAAAAATTACTGTTTGGCTCGAGGTATTTTATAGATAACAAAACCAATAATATTCACATTTTATAATAGTCCTACTTAAATATTTATCACAAATTTCTGCAGATGGACCATTCATTCCATTCAGTTAAATGCATGCATCCAAAATTTAAAGACTGTTATTTAAATTGTACCATCTAAGCACTGACATATGCTAGAGAATCCAACTGTAAATGAACATAAGTACTTGAAAAGCACTTTCATTTACCCATATAACTTATATAAAGTTGTAGCTATGAGTTTATTTTTTTGGGGTTTTTTTTATATTTATAACATTGCACTTGCAAGGCTATTTAAAATTGTAATGTTAACATTTAAGATGTTAATATTTTTTAATACTTGCACAATCTATCAGAATTCCAGTATTTTCTGTTATAGAAAAAGCCTAATTCATCTGAATTTCTGTAAACGCATCATTTTAAATATAAGGTCTAACAATTCATTTGAAATAACCAAGATTTCTCATTTAGATGTTTTTAAGCCTGTGAAATTTTATATTGTTTCTGTTAAAATGCTTGCCTTGTGATTGTGTGACTGTTCAATTTTCAGTGTTAACCAAACTAAGAAAAGGTTTTGTCTGTGTTTCATGCCAGTATCTTCCAATGGTGAAGATATCATTTACATGAACATTTACATGAATGGATGTTGTAAAATTATTGTTTGCTTGGACAGTTTGCAAGGTGTAATTGTGAATTTGCAGGTGTTTATGAAGAATCTCTATGCAAATGCACTACTGATAAGAAGGTATTAATGTCAAGCTGATACTTAGTCTTCTGTTTGGACCAGTTTGGACTTGAGGGTGTTTTCCTTATAACAGTCACATACTAGATTTTTCCATGAAGCTTGCTTTGAATACTCAAAGATAAAATCACACTTGTTGCTTGTTGGGTTTTTTGTGGTTTTATTGTGGGGTTTTGTTTTCTTTTCCGTTAAGGCCATCACAGTCACCCAAAGACATGGTATGTGATACACAATTGATGACTGTGGAGATGCTCAAGTAAAATGTAAAACTTGCTAGTAAAAAGCAGAATGTAAGTACCTGAGGCTGAAGTCTGCTGGAAATGGTCAGTAGAGGATAATGTGTAAGGAGAAGGGATTAGATTGTGGTTTTCAAGTCCAAAGGTAAGTTACAAAGAGTTCTGTCTCAAGTTACAGCACGTAGCTGGAAGTTATGCCTTCTTCCCAGTTTTGGATTCTGCTGCTCACTTCTTGTGTGGCCTTCAACAAGTTATTAAAGATTTTCATAAATAGCTTTAGATTTTGAGTACTCAACCAGCCTTGCTTTGAAAAGCATGGAATGCAACTGCAGAGACACATCTGTTCATCAAGCATAGCATAATAGAAACTGGACACTGAATATCAAAGAGAAACTTGAAAAAAGTTGATCTTCTCTCTGAAAATGCAGATCACTTTACTACTGCTAATGATTGTTGTGAGGATTAGTTAACTCATGTCTGTAAATGCTCCCAGAGCCTCAACTGGTAAATACTGATGAGCTGCAAGGTGTTAATATATTGTACTGAGAAAATGGAAGCATAAGAAATCAGATATAATGAGGAAACAAATGGGGGGGGGGGGAGGGAGAGCAAACCTTCTGCTAAATACAGCCAAATAAAAATATTTTGACTAAATGAAAGACCCCCTTTTTTTTTTGATTCTCCACAGTGCCAATGATCTTTTCGACTACCCATGCATGATAGTATTTACACCAAAAGAAAAAAAAAAACAAGTAAGAATAAAGAAAATAGTGTCATCTGACAGTAGGTGGAGTTTGCCCTCAAAAAGATACTCCCCCTCTCCTACTTGGACTATGCTAGAAGTCTAGCACTTCAGTGTAGGTACTCAAACTGCATGTCTGCATGCTGTCTGTGTTCTTGGGTGGCAAGTTGCTGTTCACAGGAATAGTATGAGAGAAAGGGTTCTGATTACACTGAGGAAAAACTTGGAAGATGAAAAAAGCTGGCTCCATCCCAAGCCTTGCCTGAGCTCTGCTGTCGGCAGGCTTGTGCCCGGTCATCTCACCTGCTGTACCTGCTTCACTTGTCTTTGACTTATGATCTGACTTGTCACCCTGCATTTGCCTGATGGTTGCTGGACAGTCAAAATAACCTTTTAATGTCATCACTCCAGCTCTATGTTGCTGTGCACAGTATGGTGGGACTGTGCCTTTGCTGGAGAGGTTGCTGCCCTGCCTAGGCTGGGGTTGTCTTCTTCTTTGGCAGGAAGCCACTCTTGCAGTTTGCTGACAGAGAATTACTCTAACTCCACGTTCAAGAAGGGAAGAGACTGGTCACCAAGGAAGACAAAATCTGTAAAAACCAGAAAAAAGTAGGATTTGTAGTGTTTCCTCAGACAGAAGGCAGTACCCAGAGGCATTCTGTAAGTGCACGCAGACAAAGCAGCATATTGTGTGCAGAAGGATACATCTAACATTATTAAAAGTTTCAGTATGAAAATAAGGACGATTTCTCTGAAAATCAGACTGATACAACAGTGTTGTATACAACATTCTTAAGGATGGCCTTGTAAATCACTGAACAAGAAACTTAAGAGTATCTGCAGAGAGACTTGAAAACTGTCAAAGAAAATTACTTGTTCTAGGACTTCTACACCAATGAAAAAAATGGAAAGAACATCCTGAAAGGAATAAGGGTACAGTAAATACAGCCTGATATGATTCTTTCTGAGATTTGACAGAATATGTGGGGCTTGAACAGGCTTACATAATCGTGATCTACTACTGGTAATTCATATGATGCACTAGAGATCACCACCAGGTCTCCTATGGAGAATTTCCTGTGGAGTAGAGCTACTCAAATGACTAGTCTGTGGCCACTTTGATTGTGAAACCAATGTATGAACAACAGTCATACACTGAACGGAATAAAAATAGTTATGTAATTGATCTCAACACAGAAGTATATACAGGCAAGCATGGGAGACAGACCATACTTCTCGTGTGCTTCAAGAACCAATTCTTAGAGTATGTTTTTTTTTGTTTGAGTTTTTGTGTTGTTTTTTGGTGGGGTTGGTTGGTTTGTGTTTCGGTTTGGTTGGGGGTTTGCTTTTTCATAAATCTCTGAGCCTGGAGAAGAGGTAAAACTGAGGAGGACTCTCGTACAGGATGGGGATTGCCTGGTAAACTGTGCTTTAGGCCAGCAATTTGTGTTTCAGGAGGTCAAATGTAAGACCATATATTGAAAGGCAACTAATGTATCATTCTCCATGTTATACAGCTTTTTATCTAGTCAGAGATCATATTTCAGACCACTTCCCTCTGTAGACCAGTGCTGTTGGTATTTGTATAGAACTGAATTAAGCAAGTTGTGCACCTCGGATCGATACATGCTCCCATACTTTGGCTGCTCACTTTGACCTCCAAAACGTTACTGTGACCATAAAGGAGAATAGAGGGAAAGCTCATAAGTTACTTTCTCTAAAAATATTATCTGCTGATCTAGAGGTTTATTTTTCTTTAAGGAATAGGAAATTGATATAACCTGCACCTCAAGAGAACAGCTGCTTGTAGGCAGCCAATGCTGCTATGTCAGTTTTCTGTAAGGGTCACCTGGGGCCCTTGGAAGTGTTCGCTGACATAAGGAGATGCACCTGGCTGGTCAGGATTATTAAGTGGGGCAGGAAATGGATGGCTCCATCAACCACATTTGCTGACACATTTTAAGTCATGCTAGTGCAATGGCTATTGATGTAAGAAAGCCACAGTTTCATAGGACAGCTGCTGTGAAGGTTACCAGCCTGTCTGGCATGCAGCTGAACCAGGGCCTGGGGTTTGTGAAGCGTGCAGTTGCCTCTGAGCGGTAGCTAGGCAACTACCTCGCTCTTGGAAAATGCTCCCTAAAGCAACTGGCCTTTTGCCCTTGCACAGACGGGTGGAGTGCCAGGTTCATCACAGGCCAAGCTAGATCTTCCACCCACTTAACACATAATTAGGCTTTAAGTTTGCATATTACACAGTATGTTAATCTGCCACACCACAGAGACACTGAGCAGCTCTTGCTTCTTGACAGCAGTTTCTTAACAGTCAACACTCTGGAGATGGCTGGGCTGCAGGGAGCAGTTCTGGCAGGAGTGGGCTGTTGCGCACAGAGCAGCACAGCTCTGAAGCCAGCGTTGCCCTAAGTAAGTTCCTTCCCCCTGGGCACCATTAGTTACAGCCATGCTCAACCGAGGAGCTACAGAGACACAAGGCCCCCTGCTCCAGGGCTGCACCGCGCTGCGCAAGCGCCGCGCAGACAGGGCGATGGCGACAAGAAGCTTCGGGGACGAGTTTGCTAAACAGAGTCTCTCCATGCAAAGGCCTGTGCCGCAAAACACACGGCACCACCGGCCTCCCTCCCCCGCTGTGACCTTCCGCTGCAGCCGGGGGACGCGCCCCAGAGCGCCTGCGCGGCTCCCGCCTTCCCTCACTAAAAATGGATACCCTCCGGCTCCCCCGCACGCGAGGCGGCAGCGAGAGTGGCTTCCGCCCTCTGTCGGTCACATGACGCGAGGTCTCAGGCCCGGCAGGCCGTACGGGAACCCGATGGGGACAAGCAGGCTGGGGTTTGCGTCTTACCTGAGCGGTGGGGGGAAGGCGTGTTGTGCAGCTTAACGACCACCCCTCCTCATCCGCCCGCGAGTCCGGAGCGCAGCAGGAACCGCCCGGCAGGGAAGAGCAGGGCTGGGCTCGCCAGCCGACCTCCTGCCGCTCTGGGTGAGTACGGGCTGCCGGGGCCTGGCGGCAGCGTCTCCAGGTTGTCCCGGGGGGCCTTGGCCTGGCCGCGGGCCTGCAGCAGACGAGCCTACTCTTTCCGTGATCTCTCAGAACGATCTGCCCTCCTTAACCCGTGTGGTCCCCCCGCGACTGTGTCCCATCTCAGTCGTGCCCCTGGGACGCAGGTCCCCTCTTGCTTGTGTCCCAGTCCGGCTCTTCGCCCCGTGCCTCGCCGCTGCCAACCCACCCCCCTAATCCCTTTACCCCATCCCGGAGCACTCTTCGTCTCCCCGAACGCTTCCACCTGTCGCTCCGCTGGTTGTCGCCCCATCCCTCTCGGTGCCCGCTCCCGCACGCCCAGTGTTCCCGGCTTGTTACTGGAAATGTTTGGATAACGGGGCAGCCAGTCTGTGCTAAATGCTCTTACTGGTGTCGCAACCCAGTCAGTATGTGGTTGTTTCAGAGAAATGGTTGTCAGACTGGGACATGGCTTTCCTCCTAACATTCCCGGTATTTTTAATGTTGAGAGAAAAAATAAAAGATGTTTTGTGTTAAAACCTCCAACTGTAGTAAAACAGACTTGAAGGAATGCAGCCCTTAACGTTCTTGGGATTCTGCTGCCTTGTTCCTGTGTAATAGATACACGTTTTGTTTCTCATCATCCTTGTGCTAAGGCGAGGGGGTGATGAATTTCCAAGGTTCAACACATGCAACCGAAATGTGCAGAGCAACTTTTGGCATTTAGCCTATACCCAGCTCTCCCTTCCCTCCAATTGTTCTGTTTATTTCACAGCCTCCAATCACATGCTTCTGTGATACATGTTCTGACTGTTTTAGGGTACCATAATAGGGTCTTTTGGGTGCTATAGTGCATGTCCTTCTCTTCCATTTTGCTTGTCAAAGGATATCTTAGACACTTGCCACAGAAGCACTTTGTAGCTTATGTGTACTTGACCAGACTAGCTGTTAAGTATCCGTACCGGGAACAAGCAGCGTGGTAGCTGGAGAAGTTACAATTAGGTGTAGGTTGTAAAGCTTGCTCTGATCTCAGTGCTGTTACAGCTGTCCTGTTACCAGTACTTGGTTTCACATATCTCTGATTAACTTGGTCATCCGCAGCATGCATAACATTCCCAGTTGCAGCACAGATATGGCTGATGTCTGATTATTGCCAGAATGCTGATGAACGGTCATCCTTCAGGTTCTTATGCATTGCTTCATCCCTGTCTCTTCTGCTTATGTTCTTTTTTAGCAGAGGGAGGTACCCTTCTTTCTGAATACATACAATTCATCCTATGTAACTTCTCTTGCTCTCTGTTCCCTTATCCTAGCCTCTGATGGTGATTTGCACTTCAGCTGCTCTGTCCTTTATTTATCCTGTGATTGTAATAGTATTTTTATTGTTTTATCATTCTTAAGACTTCTATCTTCATGCTTCTTTAGAGCTACTTAGTTCTGTAAATATCAATTTTAAAACCCTCCTTCTCCCCAATTTATTATTCATGAATTCTATAAAATGCCTTTGTGTAGCAGGAACATTACAGAAAATGTAAGTTTGATTTCTGTTATCTTTAAATAGCTCAGGGTTTTCTTTGCAAGCTCTATTTAAATATTTTTTCTGTTGCTGGAGTCTCACTGTTTCCTGTTTTGCTGTTCCTTTGTAAAAGGAGTAAATATTGAAATCACTTTGAAAGCAAATACAGTTCTGCAATACAGATATGCAAAGTAGATGAGAAGTAGGCAAGAGTAGGAAAACATGGAGGTATTGTATCTTTAGGTCCTTGGCAAGTACAGCTAAACCCATACAGTGCTATTTAGTTTTATATATATATATATATATATATAGTTTGTAAAGCAACCACTGTAATGCTGTCCTCTTTTTGTGCGTGTTTTACCTTAGAGCTGGAAAGCAGTTGTCGCTTATGTACAAAGCAATGCCAGGCTTTAGGAAAACTGTGGTTTAAACATTGCTGCAGTATAGTGATACTTGATGGCGAAAATTAGACCCATACAGGTATTTCCAAATGAGAAAGTGAACAAGCGGTGGTGAAACACCTTTTGTCAACTCTTGTGAGCAGTAACTGTTCTTTAAGCTGCTGCCAGTAGATATTCTGAGTACTCTTAAGTTCTTAAAATGCAGTCTCTTTATTGACATTATGATTTTTACTCCTGTGGAACTGGGAATGATTTACTGATCATAGACTGTTTTGAAATGAAAAGCACCTTTTGGAGTGTGGAAATGTCAGAAGACTGTGTACTTTGTTCATGTCACTGGCTGATCTCGCCAGTGTCTTGCAAGAATTTGCAATACTGAAAGGTAGAAACAGAAATCCCCCAAAGTAAAATGTGAAGAATTTTGAAGTGTCAGAGCTGCTTAAGCACCTCTTAAACTCCTGTAAAGTTTTTAACTAAATGGGTCTTTCCAGTTTCTTTCACTAGATACTTACAAACAGTAAAAGTTAATACAGGTGGATTAAATCTGCATCACTTCAGGTATTTAATTTCTAAATATTTATTTACTTATTTTTAAGTTTACATAGAACAGTGACTTTCTTGCCTTCTGCCTGACCCCTAGTTCTCCTACTGTATTACAGTGAGACTTTGAGATGAATGAGATTCTTTCATTTGATCTCTAGTGGTAGGAAGTCCTGAAAATAACACTGAGGATCACAGGATGGATTGGCAAATGGATTACATCTTGAATATACTAAAAGTGTGCATTTAATACAATGTTACACAATCCACATACTTCTGTGTGCTTCTTTCTGTTGTCTGAAGGTTGTTATTAGTTTGGGGTTTTGCTGATAAACATGGAAAGTATTGCTTCTGTGTGAGGAACAGCTTCGGTATGTCTCACCTGCCAGATAATGGTCTGTACTGAGTCATTTTGTTTGTTAAGTTCTGCATGTAAAAGCACACATGCAGCAGCAGAAGTGGCCTTGTTGCCAAAACTAGTAAAAGAATGTACTTGCAATTATCATGGCAAAACTTGCCTTTTTGCCAAGACAGATTACTTCATTTAGGGAACTACTTCAAGCACTAGAAGATTTCTTGCTAGAGTAAACTATATTCACATGTGTGTAAATGTATGAATAGAAATGTATATTTCTCTCAATCCTAACCCAAAAAATAACTGTTATCTTAGTTTGAGCTGTTGACAAGGCCCCTCAGCCATTGCCTGGATGAAAAGAGTCTCGCAACCATGTATTCCTTGCAGCTCATAGTTTCTGCTGGGAGCCCTTTTCTAGCCCTGCTCCAACTGCAGCTGCAGGATGTCCTTCTCTGAATGGAGGCCATAACCATAATCTCAGTCTGAGCCATCAGCTAGGCCACTTCCCAGGTGAGCTACTTCTCCCAGCTACCCGAGTTCCCTTTCCAGCCCACCGCTTCTATCAGCAGCCTCTTTCCAGCCCACCTCCAAGGTTTTTCTCCAGGATTTTTCTCTCAACCTTAAACCTCAGGAAACCCAGTTGTCATCGTCTTTGATAAAGCTCCCAGTAATTACCATATTAGGGTTTCTCACAGCCCAGTTTCTAGGAAATTCCCTTGCTGTTTCATATGAAATGCCCTTATTTTCCTAGGAAAACGTATATATAAAGTATTGACAAACCCGCTAATTTTAAATAAAGTCTTGTTCTTTCTCTGTGCATCTTTTATCTGCTCTGCAAAAGTTAAGATATCAATTTGCAGAAAAATTCAGAATGAGAAGTTTACAGGGTTGCCTGTGGTTTGGGAATGGGTTATGAATATGCGAGGTTTACTAGCTGATACGACAGGCTGTTGATAAGGAACTTTATCCTTGTAAGATGGAGTGAGATCTGGGTGACTGGCATCTAGCAGAAAGCTGCCACCCAAGCCTAACCTTTTCTTTTGTTTCCCTATTTTAACATGCAGTTTTGTAAGACTTCATTTTCTCAAATCCCTGTACACTGAATCTATGTAAATATTGATCCTACCAACTATTTCTTGTTTGTTGGTTTGTGTTTCTTTTTCTGCTAGCCAGTGCAGGAGTTGTACATTCTTGTGCAGAATTTCTGTGGGTTGTTTTGTCACAGCTCAGTTTGAAGACCCTCCGTACAGCTTTGAGCATTGCCTACAGCATCACTTTGCTCTTCTGTCATTGCCCTCACCTCTCAACTCCTTCTGACCACACTTCCTATGAAATTTGTCATATAACTTGTTTCTCAAAATAAGTCTGTTTATGTGGGATCACCTACCACTTGCCCCGTAATCAAAATGAAGAGCTTCCTTTGCATACTTTCTGCTGGTTTCCTGTATTGCTATTACAGATTTGCTTTTCTTTTGTCAGAATGAGTGGGGCTGCATTCCCATCTCCAGCTGCTGAGATGGCAGAAATTAATCGCCTTCAGTACGAAATGGAATACACCGAAGGAATCAGTCAGCGCATGAGGGTCCCAGAAAAACTCAAAGTAGCTCCTCAAAATGCTGACCTTGAGAAGAGCGATGAGGAAGGATTTCCAAATGCCAGTGTAACTATGCAGGTTCCAGAGCGGATTGTAGTGGCAGGTATGTCTCCGTCTCAGTAAAAGAACAATAGGTGAGAATTTAAATTAGTTTCCTAAATTTCTGCATGGACAAAAGTATTTATAGATATATATTTTTTAAATAAAAGCCTTGTGGTTTTCAAACATTTATTGCTCATCAACTTTGACTTGGGAAGTTTCTTAAGCTTTGAAAATGTTACACGGATAGTTTTGGTATAGCTTGTAGTGGAGACATTTAACAAAATATGAACAGGAAATTTAATTGCTGACTTTTTATCTTACTGCAGAAAAAAATGTTTTATTTATTTACACCTGATGTTTTTTAATTTACTGAAAGCTAAAGTAAGTATGAGAAGTTCTGGGGATGTACATGTTAAACATACAAAATATGTTTAATTATAATGAGAATGCTAATTATGTTAAGGATCTGTCTATTATTTAGTGGAATCTATTAATACTTCTTTAGGATTTATGGTCATGGGATTTACAGTGACAGATCTGGGATTGCTTATAATTTGCAAAGTGTGTGACGTGTATATTTTATGCATTGAAAGAGTGACATATTCACATCCCCAGTCAGCTTGTTTCTAACCAAATATGCTATTAATAGGAGAATGTCTTGAGATCAAAAGTGCCCTCACTTGCGGTAACAATTGATGTTGCTCTGGGTTATTCAGGATCGCTGTTCTCAGAGAATCTGCTCAGATAATTGCTAATTAATATGGTCTTTATGAGACCTTAACACTAGTTTTTAACATACAAGCCCTGTTAAAGGTATGCTTAATTATATAGCATAGTCAGGGGAAGTAACCGATGTGATACCTTTTTGAACATTAGCCTTCATGCCTCAGAACAGCTTGCTTTCTGTTGACAACTAATGTTCTTGCAGGTAATAGTGAAGACATTCCATTTTCCAGACCACCAGACCTTGACCTTCTTCAGTCTACTCCATTCAAACCACTGGCATTGAAAACTCCTCCCCGTGTTATTTCACTTAGTGATCGACCACTAGATTTTTTGGACCTAGAAAAACCTCTACAGCAGACACCTCAGAGTGAAGAGGCTAGTACTTACTTTGTTTTTTTTAATTTACTTGAAAAGCATTCTACTAAAGAAAGTAAAATAACTGGTGGTTTCTTTACTGTGGTGCAGATCTACTTTCTGCTAACATAAGTTAGGAAAATGTAAAATATATTTTTATTAGCATTGTAGTAGTTCTAATTATGACTCTGAAGTTCCATATTTAACTGGCAGATGGCTAGGGGTTGCCATGCTCGGTAAGCTTACAGAGTACTTCCAGAGTCCTTACAAGTTCATATCCTTTTGATTAAAGAGAAAGCTGCAGATTTTTTTCTATTTGCAGGTTATCAGAAAACAAGATTCTTTTAACATGCATAGTTAACCTCTGGATTCATGACCAGATGACACCACATAGAGTTAGTGAAACTGAAAAATGACTTCAAAGAATGGTATGACATTAGGATCTAGGTGGATGATGGTAACTGACATGTTTAAAACTGAAAAATATTTAGGAAGCTACATATTCTGTAGACTCGTACAGTAGAACTAGATTTCTCTCTGGTGATAGGAAGTAGATCACATGGATAGGTAACAGGATTTCAACAAGTTTGTATCTTGGTTTTACATGTTATGAGCGTCAGATCCTGTCACCAATTGTCTTCCTCCTAATCACTGTGAAACACAAAAACATGCCTTTGTATCTGCAGGCAGATCTAACTTGCAAATCTCTAATGCAAGTTACTAAGTGCCTCCTGGAATTCCCTGTCTTTTATCTTCTCCTTTCTCTGTTTTTACACAGATCCGTGCAGTGGGAAGACTGAAGAGAGAACGTTCCATGAGTGAAAACGCCACTCGACAGAATGGCCAGCTGGCCCGAAATGATTCCGTGTGAGTAGAGCAACAGGGTGCAGGGGCACAAATACAGCTTTACTGCATATTTTTGTTGTTCCTTATCTCCTTGTTATTTAGGGGTTTTCCAACTAATATTTTGTATGGTGTGGCAAGTGCATAATTTTAAAGATCAGAAGGCCAGCATTTTTCTTAACTTTTATGTTTTTTGTTTAGGGAGATGACTCATTTATGAAATATTTTCTTGCAGTGTTTGTGGGCTCACAGCTGGTTTCACCAGTTACTGTGAATTGTTACTTCAGATTCTGAGCTGGTGCAATTCTCCGTCCCCTTCCCTGAATATTCAGGAATTTGAGTTCTTTGTGCATCAACATGTTCCTGGTTCTCTCCTTGTTCATGTTGTCACAGTTTTCCTTCATAGAAGAAGGAATATATATATATGTATTCATAAATATTTGAAAGCAAATAAAAGCTACTTATTCTCTGTACTTAATGTATTGGAATCTGTGAGTGTATAGCTTAATTTTTTGAGACCAAAATGTCAAGTAGCGTTTAGAATTGGAAACTTCATCTATTGTTACCATCTGAGGTAACAATTCTTATGGTGCCTTGTGAAGTAATGATGATCTATTTATTTTTTTTTATTAGATATGATAATCCTTGATTATTCACTGTTTATTCTGAGAGATAGCATCTTTCCATCTGGCAATAACTGTTTTGAAATGCAACGCTTAAGAATCTTGTATATATGAATTTTAATATCATGGTCATCATGGCTTGACTTCACGAACAAAGACTTGGCATTTTATTTTATTTTTTTAATATAGCTACCGTAAAGAATACTTTCCCTGTTGGAAGTATCTTAAATCTAAGATCTAAAAGATGGGATTCATCTGTCCCAACGTAAACTGTATAACACTATTGTTAAATCACCATAAACTTCATTTTCAGTAACTAGAGGGAAATAAGTGCATGTCCTACTTACGGTTTACCTATTTTTAGTCTAAAATAGAATTATGCCCCAGAAATGTGTTTTCTGTTTACAGCAGGAGCACGAGGAGGTACTATATGTACTTCATATTTGTCTACTTGTTAGTCTAAAACTGATAAATGCACTCTGATGCATGTTCCAGACATGTTATAATTCTCCTTCTCTTCCTCCACATCTTCATGGGAATATTGTTGCATATCTTCTTTCTTAATCAGACTTCTGTTTCATAAAAGCTTGCAGATTGCACATGTCTAGGTACTCAAGTCTGCTGAGTCATATCTATTTGCTGACATGGCAAAACTAGATTCCTGTCCTTAAGGTCCTGATCAACTCTATCTCCAGATGTTCTATCAGCCTACTAAGTGCCCAAGTTCTCTATGGTATCCTGTGGTCATCCAATTATGGCCTCTTGGACCAGACATGCTAGAATTTCACTGTAGGAATGGCCTTAACTTGGCTATCTGATAGTTTGCACATGATGCCTGCTGAAATAGATAGCCTTCATGTAATGGAAGTTCCTTGTAAAAAAGGTTACCCCTTGCCATGTTACCAGCTCTGCTTTGCTACTCTTTCATGTATTGCCTTTAAAGGAAAAACAGATGGTATATGAATTCTTGGATTTTTTGAAATTCCATTATCCTTGCTTCCCGGGTTAGTTTAGTATTCTGAAAGTCATGGGCTGTGTCTGCTCAGTCAGACATCTGAGAAACTGTCAAGATCAGCTCTGACTGGATGCATTCAGTTGCTGTCAGATTTCTCACATAACGTTTGGACTTCTTGAATCTGAAAATCCTAATTCTGTAGAACTCACCTGTGTGATTTGCTGTTGCTCAGTAGCTATATATAGAGTTACTGTTTTTAAATGGTCTGAATATTATTTGCTGTCCCAGTTTATGAACCTACTAGCAGTCCTTCAGAGGCTTAGCAATAGAATATGCACCCAGAATCCTTTAAATTTAAAAAGGATGTGATCTGTGACTCAGTTTATCATTTACAAAAGCCAGGGAATTATGACAGATCTGGAGATTAGTTTACTTCTCTTGGTGTCCATGCTAGTGCATGCATGGTCTGTCAAATAATGTCAAGCTTCTGATGCCAAGCAGTTTCCATTATCAGTGTCTTTTAGGAAAATTATATAAGCTTTACATTGATCCAGGTTCTCTTCTCTTTGTCTGTATGAAAAATAACAGCTAGTTAATATTGAGCCTGCTGTATCTGCACTCTCTTCTGCCCATGTGGAAGAAGCTAACAATCTTCAATGCAGCATCCACACTTGCTAACCTGCAGATAATGTATTTTAGCAGAACTTCATTTATCTCTTGGCCTCCCAAGTACTTGTTTTCTTATGACAGAAGATATGCTGTGCCTAATGTGTAGACCATCTGCTTTGAAATTGTTGAGGTTCCTAGAAATTGCTTCTTTTTCTGTCATCGTTGCTGCTTCTGACCTTCTGAACCAGTATGATCCAAAAAAAGAAATCACTTTGAACATGCTGTGGAACTGTCAATGATGCCAAGTCTGGCATTTCTCCCTCACCAGGGTTTTGTCAGTCTCGAAGTGAAGATTGTGACTATGTACCTGGCTAACTCTCAGGAGGATATTCCGTGAATTCAAATTACAAAAACCACAGTGTTCATGGTGGAATTTATATGGCTCACACAAATTCGGCCTTTTGTACTTGATGAAAAAGATATCTATTGGCTCTTGTTTCCTCACGATTTGGGCCACAGGACATACGCTGTATACTGAAAAAAAAAACCAACCAAACCAAACTCCCCCCCCCACCCCCAAACTAATTCTGCAAGTTTCATGTAAATAAAACCAGAAGTAGTGTTTCTACAAACAAAATTATTAAGGAGGCATTCTGCTTTCACTCTGTGGTAGCTACTTGGAGAAGCTGCCCATGCAGAAGTGTTATTGTACAGCTCAAAATAGGTATTACAAGAAAACCTACCTGCTTGATGTAAGTTATGCTACCTTAGATAGTACTAGGTATCACCTAGTTCATGGACTACTATCTCTAATAAGAGATTCACAGTAAATGTGGTGCATGTCTTCTAAGTTTAGCTTCCTTGTTGACAAATTAGACCATTTAAGTAGGTACATTCTACTACAAATGTATTCTTTACACCACAGGAAATGTAATTGTACTCCTGTTACTTAGCTCACCTTGGAATTTCTTTGTCATCTAGAAGTACTGTTTTTTTCCAGTGGTACAAAACCACAAGAAACCATCTGCTTGTAAAGTCACTTCCAGTTGCTGGCTAAAAGAAATAATCTTTGTTCTAATTTCTGTCACGATACGTTGCTGCTTCATCAAAACTGGCTTTACTTGTAAGTTCATATAGCGTCTTTGACAAAGATAAGTTCCTTATTCCTGTGCTTGTTGGTGTCTGGTTCACATCTTCAAATAGGAAAGAGACTCCATGTTTTACTTGAAATAATTAATTCCTATGAAAAAAAATAATAAATACCAAACCCTTTGGTTTATTGGTGTGGGGGTTTTTTTAATGCTTGTATCATACCTCAATTCAACATCCTTGATAGACATGATAGTCTACTTGGATGCCATGATGAGGACTCCATTGGAAAGGTACATGAGGCATTGCCTTTTAAAAACTTTACTTTCTAAATGGGACTATAACACTCAAGTTTTAATCAAGGACACTGTTGTCCTCCTTGGACAGAACGTTCAGACCTACTGTGCACATTCCAGTGCATGACCTACAAAGTGACAGGATGAAATGTTCTGGGATAATTTGTCATGTTGAAGCGAAAAAGTTGGCTGCTGTCTATCACAGTGCTCTTTACATGGTACAAACAGTTGTTTCTCTTCTGCTGTCTTTCCCTTCTTGTCATCCAGTTGCATGCAGAGACAGATCTGGGAATTTTTTGGAAGCTGAGTTTCACCAAAGACAGTAATTCTCAAATGCTTTTAAAAACCCTGAGACTAACAAGTAGGGACATGCTTTACAGTAACTGTCTAGCTGTGTAGCAGTAATGACAGCTCTCTAAATTACAATCCCTTTATAAGGATGCTTACTTAAGAGATTACAATTATTATTCAAGGTGGCACAGATCAGATACTGTCTCAAGAAATAAAATGCCACGGTTCCAGTCACCTCTTTCGACTAAGGATTGCACGTAAGCCTAAATGTTACTTAGTATATGAAAATCAAGAATGTGTTTAATTATGTTGCTCTGTGCAATACTAATCTTCTGACTAAGTATCTGTAGTTTAGAATATAAAATTTGAAACGCCTTTGCTACACTGTATGTGTGATTTCTAATTTTGCTACAGGGTTTCTCAAACTTGGCCAAATAGTTTTCCTGTGTAAAGAACATAGGGAAAAATACCTGACAGCAAGTGAAAGGGGCAGCTTAAACTAAAAACTGATTTTAAAGCTATTTTGAAATTTCATTTTTCTTTAAGTTTTCTTGATTGTTTGGCTGTTTTTTAATAACTGGAGAATCAATGTTTTTTTGGTGGCCGTTGTCAGCCAGTGGTGAGAGCAAGGATTCCACTTGCACACTGGAAATCAATAAACCACCAAGAGTGCATGGAAAAGGGGATGGCATTGAACTTTTTTTTCTTCTCCAGCCTTTCCCTCAGGAAAACGCATCTCTAGAGCACTCAGTTGCACAGTTTGAGAAATTCTGTTCTTCGTGCAAGCTGAGGGGGAAAAGGTGATGGTGTGCCCCTCTGTAACAAGAATACAGTGTGTGTGGTTGAATCTAAAGTAACCTTAATTAGTTTAATCTGTTTACCTCTCATTTAATACTTCCAGAACTGTAAGTCCAAGAAATACCTAAATTAAACCCTGTTTACATCACACATGCTTTGAGAAGGTTTAGGGGAGATTACTAAGCAAAAAGCTATAAAGTAGAATGTTACTGTGCTCTTCCATAGTAATTTCTGCAATTCCATGTTTGTTTTGGTTCCAGACTCTGGAGTCGACTAGTGTTTGTAACCAGGGAGTACTAAAATGAGTGTCTGGAGCTGTACATAAGAATTCTTTTTCAGAAGCTGGAAACAAAAATATACCTAGGAGTACGACCACTTAGCTAGAAACAGAAGAGAGAAGGGGGATAGCCACAAGGTCTTACGATAAGCAGTCATACTAAATGTTACAGGATTTTCCTTGTGCTAGTATCTTTTTCCCCTATATTCCTTAATCCTGATATTTGAGACCTTCATGGAATTATTCCTCCTTTGAAACAGAAAGGAATAGAGAGGCCTTTCTCAAACTATGCACATTTAGAAGGATGTAAAAATTAGCAATAGCCTTTATGGAGAAGGTATGAGTAATTTCATGTAGCTGTACAGTTTAGCTCATATCCAGGAGCAAATAGCTTTCAATCTTTTAAATAATTAAATCATTTAACAAACTAAATATTCTCTTAAGTAAGAATTAAATAATATCTTAAAATGAAGTAAACTCTTGAAACGGCCTTTTCTTACAAGCTGCTTATAAGCAAGAAGCATAAAGTAGTGCAGAGACTAGACCATGAGGCTAGGAATTATCCAGTTCTGAAGCCTGCCTTGAATTTTCCCTGTAATACAGAGTTTCTATTTAATCAGCACATAGAATCATTTAGGGTGGAAAGGACGTGTAAGACCATTGAATCCAACATGTAACTTTAATTTTCTTCTGGAGAATTTTGTGCAGTTTTAGTTAAATGGTTTGGGTTTTGTTTTTTTTTAGTAGCTAGAGAAAACTTTATATGCAAATAACATTACTGTGGTATTTACAGCAATGCCATTCTGGACAACAGGAATTCCACAACATCTTCTAATTTGCAGTATGTCTAAATACTGTTTGTTAAGCTTTTTTTTTTTTCTTAAGCTGTCTTTCCACCTATTCTGTAGATCTCTGAAGTGATGAATAGGAAAAATTACTTTTAATGTAAAACTTGCTGTGAGTTCAAGCCTCAACTCTACCCTCATTTGCATCAAGCCAGCAAATACACAAAGAAGTAGAATTTTTCACAAACTCACTTTAGTGGCAATATTTCCGTACTTGCCCCTCCTTCTTGGTATTTTTCTAGTGAATATTGGCATTTCCAATGCATTTCAAAAGTATAATGTGTGGGTGTGACCATTGCCATTGATTGCAAACTAGAAGTCATCATAGATACAGAAGAAAGATGGATTCTACAAGCCCTGGAGAGTGATAAAAGTTGTAAAGAAGACACAGATGTTGATTGATGTCTCCTTCTTTTTACTTTCTGTTGTCCAAATGTACTCTACAGCAGCATGAAATATATTTGCAGCTTAGGTAATAAGTAATGACCAGTTTAAGTCAAGCACCAGCCACTGCTGTCTTTGCATGTCTCCTGAAGCATGGGATGGCTGAACTCTCCTGTGGGTAACATATAACATGCTTTGAATCTGCCTTTTTTCAATTGAATTTTCTTTCTTACTCTATTTTATGATCTTGGTGCCAGCCAGTTGCATAGCAGCTTTCTTCAAAATAGGAGTATCCATAGAGTCATGACTCATCCAGAGATTATCCAAATATCAAACCAGCTTTCAAGTACTTGGTCACTAATGCTTTGCTTAATTTCCTTATAACACCAAAAGCGGGAAGATTGGCATTCTAAATCCAAAAACTGCTGGAGCAAATCACAAGTAGCAAGGAAATGTGTTGAATTATGAATGCCTATTCTTGGAATAAAATATATTAGAAATTTCTCTTGATGTGTGAAGGAAAATGTGGGTAAAGTCAGGTTGAACGTAAAGAAGCATGAGCAAATCAAAAGCACTTTATCAGAACTAATTTCTGTCGGACAGAGATGAGGTTTGCATAATCCAAGTGGTCACGTTTGAATTTCAGTCCTGTGGATTTTAACTATTACTTTTGCATCCTAGTCAAGAAGCCAGATCATGTCATTTGTTGTCTCAGGGATACGAATTCTCTGCTTGCTTTGCAATTTCTTGTAGTTGCCTTTAAACTTTGTTCAGTGCACATCAAAGTGCAAACCAAAATACGATCTTGATCTTTAGTCACCTCTTGAAGAAAAATTTTGTTGAAGAGGCTGTGTGAGATTCTCCTCATTTGAAAAAGGCTTGTGTTTTTAAAAGAGAAGTGTAAGATTTATTTTTTAAATGGCAGTGCTTTTAAAACACTTTCCTCTCTGATATCAATGAGGACTTGAATACTGACTTCAGCAGGTACAGACTTAGTGATCAAGGACTTTCTAAAACTAACTTATATAACTAAGCAAAACTGTGTCCTTGGAATATTGTTTGCGTTTGAAGAATATATATGAATGTAGCTCATGATCCCAATGCTACTAGAATTTGGGGGTTTGCCTTACTGTGGTGGGAGAAGGGTAAACCAAAAGCAAGCAATAAGCATTTTGGAATGGGGTGTATCTGAAAAGCTTTTTTTAATTTAAAATCTGACTACAGTATTTCTCTCTCCATTTGCTATGCTCGTACGAACAGTGTGACACCATCACTGCAACAGGCTCGTATCTGTCCTCCCAATATGTTACCTGAAGATGGAACTAATCTTTACTCTGCTCGTGGCATTTTGTCGTTTATCCAGTCTTCCACTCGTAGGGCTTACCAGCAGGTGTTGGATGTGCTGGATGAAAACCGCAGGTGATTGGTTGTCACTGATTCTGCCAGCTTTTGCTGCTTTTTGTTTTTTCTTTTCTCCTTTTTAGTGGAGTTTGGTTTTTGTTGACAAAATAATGAGATGAAATTATTTGGTTTTGCTTTCCTTTGCTTCCACTATCCATAAGCAACTTAATTGTCCAAAATTCACATTTCAAAATGCTTCTGTTTCAGTCAAATATAGCATTGTTTTGATTTTCTTCCAAATAAAAATCAAAAGAGGAAGTGTTAGTCTGTGACTGCAAACAATTTTGTGTTCCCAGATTGTCAACTATTTTTTGCAATTAATACTTGACCCTAACCCTGCAAATTAGTTAGCCTTGTCTTCTGCTTTTCTGTTGGTGAGCAATGGTGCAAATCAGTAAGATTGGGCTGATGTTGTCATAAAGCATTAAAACTAATATGCAGAAACAGGGTAGAATATTATGCAAGGCATTGTAGACTCTGCTCTTGATAATGTATCAAGACTTTAGGCTGTTTCAGTTTGTATTTGGAATAGTTATATCTGATTGATGTACAGCTGATGGTGATGGCTTTGCTGGATGCTGAGAGCAAGAAAGCCAGTGTACACTGAGAAGCTGTTTGCTCTTCTGATTAATGCTGCCTCTGGTTTTATGGGTAAGCTAACGTGAGGTAATGAGCTGAAACAAGACTCAAGGCAATCATTGTGCAGTATTTCTGTTCTCTTCAGTGGATTTTTTCCCACTTGGACTGTTTTGCCACTTTGAAGTGTTACAAGAATGGTATGTTTAACAACACAGAAACATCTATAAAGACTAACAGTGGCAAAAATAATTTACAAAAAGCAATTTTCATTTCAATACTGTGCTAGGACAGAGGGTCAGGTAAAAATGGCACACAGTTAGTCTCTAGTGTAGGGCTAGCTGAGACCTCTACAGCTTGCCAAGACATTGAATTAGAGGAGATAATTGGAAAGAACAGTGTGAGGAACAGCTCATTCCTCCTGCAGCCCATCAGTGTGGCCTGTGCTAGGAAGCTCTTTGAAATTTGCCTTCTGCCTCTGGCTGCTAATATCCCAGCAGCAGTCCTCATAGCTAGTAGTGTGAAGTTAAGTGATCTTCTAGTTGTTTTGCTAATAAAATGTGACTATCAAGCCAATCTTACTGTGAATGTCTGTGTTTGCAGTTACTTTCCAAATGAGCACCTCCTGTAGCTCACCATGTTTGCTGACCTGACAGTATATAAATGCCTGCATTAACATTTTGTATAGAACTCCAGTGTTACTGGCCTTTATATTCTTAAACTGGGACTTAAAAAACTTTGATGCTTGTCAGCAGTTGAACAGCAGTAATACGTTTTCTCTTTGTGAGTACTAAAAAGATAGAATTACAAGTTTGCTTTGTTTTACAAAATTAAAGGTACCAGAAAAGAAGGCATCTTACTGTCTGTGAATAATAGCACTTATGGATATTGTGCCAAGAGTTCTTGTTAACATAGAGACTGAAATTCTAACCCTTCCCCCAGTCTGCAGCTGAAGCTAACAGGTTTTATTCCTGGCTTCCATTAGGCATGATATTCCCCATGTTTTCTTGGATTCTGGAAAACATACATATACACATGGAAAGCATACACTTTCATCTTACTTCAGTTATCAGAAAGCTTCTGGGGTTCTGAATCATTCAAAACCAGCATTACTCTTCCTGGTTTGGGTTAATTTTTGAGATGTTCTTACTAACCTTCCTAGAAGACTCAGGAAACCTGTTTCTAGTTCTACCAAACTAGTTTCTAGTTTCTAGTTCTACCAAAACAATGAAGTTTTCAATAAGGTGAAAGTGTATTCTTTGTGATTGGGTGTTTAGATACCCACCGCTATTCTACAGCTGGCTTAGGAATGTGAAATTTGGATGATCCACTTGCATGGTTGCAAAATAATGCTCATTTTAAATTGCTCCAAACCTGCACTCTGTTCTTTTGCTCTGTGTAATGTGCTTTCTATCTCAAAACCTTATCTATTTAAACATTTGATGCTTAATACTAGAAGAGATCTTTTGAAATGAACAAGATCTGTGTTATTCACTGGAAATATTTTTAACCTGTTTCATGGCTTGCTTTTTTTTGTTGTTTATTTTGTTTGGGCTTTTTGTTTTGTTTTGTTTTTTTACAAAATTATTTTCCAATCTACTAAAACTGCTAATGGTAGGTGCTGATTGTACTGCTGCAGATAATGAGTTATGCCTAGCTTAGCTGGCACTGGCTGTTTAAATGGGCAACAATTTAATGATGACTGTTTACACTGTCTGTTTACTCTTGCATTTCCTTCAGCTTGGACAAGGGCAATAGGTCAGTTTTGTTTTCCAGTTCTAACCATTTTTCTGTTTCAGTTTCTGTTGAATGACTGGAGGGCCCTATACCTAGTGTCAGTCTCTTAAAGACTGATATTTCATGCTCCAGGCAACAAAACCAAAACAAAGGAAAAAAAACAAACAAAAACACAAATGAAACCCAAACCAAACAAGCAAAAAGCAAACACACCAAAAAATGCATTTAAGGGGGTTTTAGTGATGTCTTAAATGCAGGAGGAAAGGCAATTTCCTATCTGAACAGAGTTGTGTTGAAATCTGTACTGTACTCTTCATTTTTTGAATCAATAGCTTTTTGTTCAGGAGGAAAAAAAAAAAAGGTATTTATTTCTATTGGCTTTCTTCAGGATAGCTGTTTCTAAAAAGCCACTGTCCTTAAATGTCAGACTTCAAGCACATAATCATATCCTGAGTTGTTATGAGATCATTCTTTATCCTGAGCAAGTTAATGATATTTTTCATGGCAGAAATAAAATAGGATGTGAGTTAACACCATTGAAGAGGGCTACATGTGACTTGGGAGTGTGGTAATACAGTCCAAAACTAAAATGAAATGGTCTGCAAATGTGTAGGAGCCTGGGAAAAGCAGTAGCCCTTTGCTATGTTGAAGTATAAAGCACCAAGACAAGCGAGGAGAGCAGTTTCATCCAGTCTCTGATTCTTCAGTCCACCAGTCTTTCTGTACTTCAGAAGCTGAGCTTTTTACCCAGTTAATGTCCAGAACATGTCTGTAAAGCCCTACTGCCCATTCTTACAGCCTTTCTGAGATTTCCAGGGGGGGTTTAAAGTACAGCAGTAGGTGGACATAGCTGCTACCTCTGCTGAACAAAGACAATATGCTGGTCTAAGTCCCCTGTCGTCCACAGAAATTACGGAAGTTGGATGCAGGTACCTAGATTGTCCACACCTTGTTGTTCTCCTCCCAGACCATGTGTTTATGATTGCATCATTAGTGTGGTATTTCCACTGCATGCTCCACTCTAAGAAGTGGAAGACAGACCAGATTTAGTTGGTTATTGCCTTATTGCCTGTTTTCCCACTGTGATTAAGTTATATTACTGTGCATTCCATTCATGTTACAGGCTGCTGATGTATTTGCAGTGAAATAGTGAAGTGTTGAGTACACACGGCCCTGGACTTATGGCTTCTTCTGATCATGTCTTAATGTTTAGAATGAAATTGAAAGAAGTAGCCAGAAAATTCTGTTTTAATATATTCTTATTCCCTTTTTAACAAGAAGGCTGTGTATTTAGTATCTTGACTGTATTATACTTGTGCATTCTGTATTTACCAAAAAACTTGCTGATCTCAATTATGAGGCCAGTGTGATCTACAGAATGATTGTTTTGTTGTTGATGCATAAAACCAAGCAAGTAAAAAATGTGGGAGAGGCAGGAGAATATTCTGGCAATCTGTTTGGGTCCACCTGTAAAGAAATAAAATGGTAACTGCAAAGAAAAGGAAGAAATCAGGGCAGCTTCTTAACAGCCTGGCTGTGTTGGGAAGTGGGATTGAGGACTTGTAAATACAAGTTTCTGATTTGCACAGATTCCAGAGTGTGCTCTAGTTTTGTTTCTTGTTACAGCCTTCAGCTACTTTTAGGCCTGTGGCTTTCCTGGGGATGGGTAGTGTGAATAACTATTGATTAATTCTGCAACAGTTGTAAAACCTTGCCACAAAATACCACAGAAGCCAAGAGTTAAGAGAGCATTTGAGGCTTATTGTTCTAATTACACAGACACTGTCCTATGTCAGATGGTGGGGGAAGTGCCTGCTGGATACTGACAAGCTGGCCTTCATGTATCCACCAATTACAGGTGACTTCTGTTTGCCCAGAAAATCTGCTACCTTTTCCATAGCTGCTGTTTGCTGAATTTCTTACTCTTTTCTCAGAGTGCTTAGTTTTAGCATCCATCAGACACGACTTGAGGCTAGCTGGATTATTTCTCTGATTAAAGAATAGGAATACCTTTTCAATAACTTTCTACAAGACCTCATGCATTTAGGTAAAGATATTCTCCTATTGTACATATTGGGAATGGGGGGTTCCATTTGGTAAAACACATGATACTGTTTTATCTTACGTACAAGATGGAAAAACACTGTGGCATGCATTTTTGGTGCTGATTAGAGTAGGTCCCAATCCCAGTAAGTATTGTATCAGATAGCAGAGTTTACTAAGGCTCCTAGATTCCAGTCCTTGTAAATGAAGCCAGGGGTTGTGATATTTTTGCATGGTTCTTTGCCCATTTTCAGGGCAGGCCACAGTGTGCTCCCAGCCACCTCAGCACCAAGCCTCTTCCTTCTACATGTACCTGCTGTAAAGATCTTCACATACGTAGATTCTCTTTGTCTTCTGTTTCATAGCCTGAAGTATACATGGTTTAAATGCATGGTACAAGTACCTCTTATTGGCTTTGGGAAAATGAAGGAAACTGAAAAAAAGATCCAGGCTCTTGAATGGTTTGTTACACAGCATAGATGTGGCACACTAATACCTCTTACCAGAGGTACTGAAAAAGACATAGTACTGGCTTTGTCCAGTACCTTCATCCATAGAAGGTACTGCTGGTATTCTCTAAACACAGTAACTTCTTATTGCAAAGTGAATGTATATTATATAGTTTCAGCAACATAAAAAGCTCTGCCTTTTCTTCCTGTCTGCCTAGAAAGAAAAGGAAAATAAATTGAAAGAGCAACATTTGCAAGGATATTCATACAGTCCACTTGAAGCATTTAATCACCTCTGCCTGGACACTAGCTCACGTTTTCTGAATTACGTCTAGCATAGGTGAATAAAGAAAAGACAAATCTCCCATTTCCCTAGAGGGAAGAGAGGATGATTAAACAGGTTTTTATATGTAGATACAAGGTTATTTTTTTTTTATTGTTGTTGCATGGGGTTTTGATCTGGAGGTGAGGTTTAACCTGAAGTTTCCTAGGGTTATTTTATAAGGCTGATAACCTCCGCCAAACCTCTGTTCCAACAGTTTGTCTTCCGTGAATGAAGCAGTATCATCAAAAACTTTGCCTGCATGTTTTAGCTAAATATTCAGTGTTGATTAAATTTCAGAGAAATAAGAGTGTAATATACAACAAAATAAATAGATATATTGTGTTTAAACATCATACAATCTAGAGTGGAAGAATTTTGATGTTCCTTTGTTCTATGTGGTTTATCTCTTACCTCTCTTTGTCATTTCCTGTTTCTGTCCTGTGCTTTCTATCTACAAAAACCTGCTGTAGGCCAGTGTTACGTGGTGGGTCAGCTGCTACCACTTCCTCTAACCCTCATCATGACAACACCAGGTAAAGCGTATTTTTTGTTAGTCATGGTCCACTAATTTAGATTCTAAAATTCAGACTTCTGCTTCCCTTGTGTCTAGTGTCCTTATCTTAAAACACTGCTTATTTCTGTCCTCCCTCTCAACTTCAGATTCTTCAGGCCTTTACTCGTTACTCATCCAAGTCACCTGCAATGACCTCACTTGTCTATTAGATACAATGAGCTGCAGAATTCTGACTCAGTGTGTCAGGGGAGGCTCTTAAATTACATCAGCAGTATACTGCCAGTATTTGCTGTTTAGCAGTGAATTTCGTATTGTTATTGATAGAAAAATTGGTCTTGATGAATGAATTGGTCACCTTATTTTTCCCAGGTGTTCTCCGGTAATATGCCTGTGATTGTTAGTTGGGGCTGAACGCCTTTTCACTGCCATTGTCTTGGTGGGTTGACACTGTTTCAGTGAAACTGCATGCAAGATTGACACATAGTTCAGGATGAAGGGGAAAAAGAGCCCCACATCTATTGTTCCCATTTGTCACTGCTTCTGTGTCTTTATTGAAATGGAGATTCCTTTTCTGCTTATGTAGACACTAGATGCAAGCAGGCGATTCTTCTCTAACTCAGGAGTTAAGTTTTTGTAACAGTCCAAGAGATTATCTCAAGGGATTTCTTGCTGATAACCCTCCCAGTGTAATACCTGGAATGGTTTGGAAGTTGCTAGAGCAGTAGTGACATATAGTGACTTTATATTAAATTTATATGACGTGGGAGGGAGGTGTGCCCATCTCACTGCAATGATGAACCTCTCTGCTTTTCCCAAGAGATGGTGAGGGACAACTGCAGCCTGGATCTGGTGGAATTTTCTAATTTTTGTTACCATCTACTGCAAATTAAAAAATGGCTGCAAGAAGACCCTTCTCAGAAATCTCTTTGGCTTTCGGAGGAGCTGTAGTAGTAAGGAAAACCTGCTTTATTTGTGTGTGTGTGTATGTGTGCGTGTGTGCAAAGCTGCAGACTTTCTTTAACAGTAGGAATGTTCACAATAATTAACTTTAGTTTGCTTTAAAATAACTTTGCTGAGTTAGCAATGTGAGCTCCACATCACTGAGGAAATTAAAAACCAAACCCCAAACTGAAAGAACTACAAGTAGTATAAGTAGGATAAATGAAGTGAATGTTTGAAGTCTTCTTAGAATGAAATTAGTAATAGTCTTAATGAGGAAGTATTTTTCTAAGAGAAGGAGTTGCCAAAACTTTTCTTTTCTTTTTGTCCCATGGTGTGTTTTTAAAAGAGCTGTGACTATTGACAGACAATTAGTTATTTGACTTGTCCTTTACTTAAAAACTGTTTCTAGCCTGATCCCACCTGGAGAAGTTTTCCCTCTCACTGTATACCCTTCAAGGTAAAAAAAACACAGATCAAATCTCTTCACAGAGAGGGTAATCAGGCATTGGAACAGGCTTCCTAGGGTGGTTGTGGAGTCACCGTCCCTGGAAGTGTTAAAAAACTGTGTAGATGAGGCCCTTAGTGACATGGTGTAGTGGTGCCCTTGGCAGTCCTGGGGTAACGGTTGGACTCGATCGTCTCTTTAAGATGACCGTTAGTCTTTTCCAACCTAACTGATTCCATGATTCTATAATTAACTTCCTATCTTTCATGCAGTATTGCTCAAGGTTCTCGTTGTCTAACTCCAGACTAACGCATCTCTCACTTAGAAACAGCAACTGCTATTTAGAAACAATACATTAATGAACAGTGGTATGTTAATGTGAATGTAATTAATGTAATTAACCGTGAATGTTAATGATACAGGGAAACCTGACAATTTGTCAGAAATCTTGCCTGAGCTGAGGGTGTTCCATAGAAGTTTGCTGAAAGTGATGAAAGAACATGCAGTGTAACAGTAGTGTCTGCCCGTAAGTGCTTTCTGCAAGCTTCAGGAATTCTAGTTGTATTCACATTAGTCAAAGTTGACCAATAACTGTCATTAAATACTAAACATTCTTTTAGGCGTATTTTGTTGAGAATTTGGTAGATGTGACATTATTTTATTCAGTTTAGGTGATCAAACACATACTTTATGCAGACTTTCTGCCACTCCCCAACCAATAATAACTAACCCTGGGGTTACAGTAATGCTTTCTCTGAATCGCTACCTTAAGAAAACTGAGAGGTGCTCTAGGAACAAGCTATGCAAAGTGGAGCAAGCAGTGGCTTGGCACTAGACTCTTTATTTGTGAAGTTCTGTGCCTAAAATACTGAGATGAATGTGACTGAGATCATTAACCTCATTAGGTGTCCACTTGCGATATTTAAGTAGGTACCAAGCATAAGACACCCAATTCTCTCCAAGTCTTCATCTGGTTATTTCTAATCTGTTGCCAGGCTTCTTGCAATGTTGGCATTTTAGCTTATGCAATTTTTAGGCTTCATTAATCAGTTAAATGACTAGGAAGAGGCTTTTGAGAGACCACGTGACAGCAAGAAGTCTGTATGGAGAACCTTCAAAAATATTTAAACATGGGGAGCGATATACCTAGATTCAGTCAAGAACTTGGTTCATGTGTGTTTGTGCTTTATTCAGTTAGGATCCGATTGAAATAGACGATTCTGTAAAAGCTGGAAAAAAAGTTTTATCATTCTTCTCTCTGTCGTCACCAAAAAATACATCTACTACAATGTTGATAAAATCTGTTACTTTCTAATCTTTGTGTGTACTATCTCCCTTATTTGATAGATCTGGTCTTTCCAGCTTTGATACTATGCTTGAGGGAACACCAGATGACATGACAGTTGTAGATGCTGCTTCCTTAAGACGACAGGTATGTAAAGCACTAGTTGATAATAAAACGGGGAAACGTTTTCTGTGTGGCTGCAAAGGTATCCATAATGGATACAGTGAGGAATCCTCTCTGTACCCCTGCTGGACTACCCTCACGTATCCTATATTGTTCTGGGAATCTGGAGAACCCAGCTCTGTTTCTGTTCCTACTTATTAGGGACAGCAAGATCTGATCACTAGTGATTGAAGGCAGAAAGTCAAATTATCAAGTGTTTAAAAATCTTTGTCTGAGATACTAATTTTACATGACTATTCAGAAGCTTCTAGAAAGTCTGACAACTTTTAATGAATTCTTAAAAACCTTTATTTATTTTTAGATAATCAAACTTAATCGCCGCCTACAACTTCTGGAAGAAGAAAACAAAGAGCGTGCTAAGAGGGAAATGATCATGTATTCAATAACTGTAGCTTTCTGTCTACTCAACAGCTGGCTTTTGTTTCGGCGCTAGACACAGCTCGGGAAGATTTAATTGTTGAAAAGACAAGAAATTCACAAAATTCTTTGTTTCTGTTTCTGAATTGTATGCTGTTTTATAATTCATACACTGGAAACTTCCACCACAGATAAAGGCTATAGACTTGCAGTGTTAAAGGGACACCTTGTTGTTCAGTTATAATGTATTTAACAGATTTGCATTGCAAATACTTGCAGTATCCCTCTTTGCATGCTTCATTGTAAATATGGATCATCTGATAGAAACTTTGCTCCATGCAGTGTAAGGACAGTGATTTACAGGATTTTACTGGATTTACAGGATTTACTGGATGTTTTTTTGTGGTAGGAACAGAACAAATGGAATGGGTTTGGAAAATAAAAACAAAGGAGTAAAAAGTGTAGGCTTTATTGTTCTGTTGTTAGATGCAATTAAACAGGATTGCACTAGTTTTCATTTAGCCTGAGTAGTTTAAGGTGTGCCATATTCCAAGGAGCCTGTCGTTTCATGAGTATGTTACTTGTTCAAGCACATGTTCAGGTCAGGTAATAACAGGAATTTTTTGCTAACATGCAAATTGTCCAGAGGTGTGTAATATGTAATTTTTTTAGTGTTAACTTTGCAGATGTTTTTCTATAAAATACATTTTTAAGCAGGTCAGTGTGTGAGCGATCAAGGTCATGGAGTATAAGATACTGATGTAGTATATTTAATAAAATTATCAAACCCCATCCAAACCATTGTTTGATATAATTTTAAGAAAAATTTGAGGGTTCATCTAAACTACGAGTCTTTGACGTAAGTAGTAGTGATGGTCTGAGCAACTCAAGAGCAGCAGGTGCGCATCCAGAAGCCAGCTGCAGGTCTGCCATCTCCCGCGTGTTGTGGCGCTGTTCTGGTGTGTGTGTGGCGGGCACACAAGTAGCGGAAGCTAGCCTGGTGTCCCTATGTACTGCGGTCTGTTTAAACATCCCATGTTCTTGTTTCTCTGTGGGCCCGGAGGCACCCTGCACAAGGCGGCTCCGGGCAGAACCCCGGCCGGCGCCCATCGGACTCGGCGTGTCAAACTCTCCCTGCAGAAGGACGCCCGACACCGGTGGCCTCGGCCGGGCTGGGCGGGTGCCGCCGGTCTGCGATCCGCTGCAACTGGAGGAGCTGCGAGCCCGTGCACCGCGACGCTGCTTTGCTCGAAGCTTCCCGGGTGCTCTGTACCCGAGAGCTGGCGGATCCCCAGCCCGGCGCCCCGCATCGCAGCCGCAGATGCCCCACGCTGCCGCTGTCCTGCTGCTGTAGTCGCTGCCTCACGGCGTTCGCTCCCAGCGTGCAGCGCGGTCACACGGCCCGCCGGGAGCTGTGGTCCGAGGGCTGCTTCCGCCGCCGCTGCCCCGCTCGAAGATTTCCCCTGCCAGGAACGCTTCTGCCCGGAACTAGCGTTGCAGGGCCGTGTTTCCCGGAGGAGACGGGTCTCTGCGCTAGGTGCAGCCGTCGTCATGGCCGCCCGGCTGCTCGTGCGGGCATCGCGGCAGCTGCTGGCTGGAGTCGGGGCCGGAGCTGGAGCTGGGACCGGGACCGGGCGGGTCACGTTCAAGACTGCGCCGCGCCAAGTAAAGAAGCGGTGGCTCCGCGCCTACCTGGAGCAGGAGCGGCTGAATGCGCCCCCCCAGCGGCGGTGAGACCGGCCCGGCCGGCAAGAGAGGGCGGGCGGCGGGGCGGGGCGGGACACGGTGCCGGGGGAAGGGAAGTCAGCGGCCGGGAAACAGTCAAGATAGAACCGTTTAAGAGCCTTCTCGCCAGGCTCTGGAGCAGGGTAATTTAAGCTCCACAAGTCAGCTTGGTTCCCGGGTTTGAATGTGGCAGGGGGCCCGTCCTGGCAGGCCGCAGATGCGCACGAATGGCGTTTGACACGAGAGGTTTAAATACTGGTTTTGGTCTTCAGACTTTAATTATCTGAAAGCCCTGTGCGGGTAACTTATTGTTCTGTTCCTGAATTTGCTTCGTTTTCCACGTGTGTAGGTCAGAGAAGCCCAACTGGGATTACCATGCAGAAATACAAGCTTTTAGTCACCGACTGCATGAAGATTTTTCCTTGGATCTTCTCAAGACTGCCTTTGTTAACTCCTGTTACATTGAAAGCGAAGAGGCAAGGCGCCGGGAGCTTGGGCTAGACAAAGAAACGATTGCTCTTAATCTCCAAGATAACAGTAAACTTGCTGAAGAAGGGATGTCTTTTTCACGTTCTTACCTGATGCAGTGCTTTGAAGGTGCCTACCCAGAGTTACCTGCAGAGGGGATAGGTGCACTTGTTGATTTTCTTACCAGTCAGGAACTTGTTTCTTATGTGGCTCAAAACCTGTCTATACAGGACCTGACGCTTTGCAAAGAGTTCCCTGCCCCTCCAGATGTGCTGCAGAGGACCTTCTTTGCTGTAATAGGAGCCTTGCTTGGCAGCAGTGGGCCTGAGAAAACTGGGATCTTTGTCAGGGTGAGTCTGGCTTTAAACTCAAAATGGGTAGATTTACACACTGGCACAGGTTGCCCAGAGGACCTATGGCTGCCCTATCCCTGGCAGTGTTCAAGGCCAGGTTGGATGGGGCTTGGGGCAGCCTGCTCTAGTGCAAGGTGTCCCTGTCCATGGCAGGGGGTTGGAACTGGATGAGCTTTAAGGTCCCTTCCAACCCAGCCCATTCTAAGATTCTGTGATTTGTGCTGACAACAATAACATCAAAGGGTATCAGAAATTACAGGGGATTAAAAAGGAAAAAAAGAATAAATTTCTTGAACCTTGATGGCCAGAGATCAAGGGAGATTGGCAGAAGTTTGACCATACCTGTAACAAGACAATTGAACACTGAGATCTGTTTAGTGGTGGTGGTGGTTGGGTAGTGTTTTGGTTGGGGTTGTGTTTCTTTTTTCTTCTGTTTTCTGTTGTTTGTTTTCATTTTTCTTTAAGAAGCACAGGCTGGTCACGGACATAAAATCATATGCTTCTGATATGTAGAATAATAATATTCTTGTATTTGCTGATACTTGCAAAGGGAAGGCATTATATTCCATGCACTGTGCTATCAAATAATGGAATTATTCCATGTAAGGTCACGTATATCTTCAATAAGAAAACCACAAAATAAAAACAAACCCCCAAAAGAACCAAAAGAACCAAACAAAAAAAACCAAACAAAATAAAATTTTATTTACAGCAGGGGCTGTGTTCATAGGTTTTGCAAGCAGGAGTGCAAGCACCTAAATATATTTCATACAAAAAGTTTCAGTTAAAATGCAGTGTAACAAAATAGTTCTAGCAGCTACTGTCCTTTCAGTCATCCTTTTTACTTATTTCTCATTTGCAATGGATAAATGTCTGTTAAAATCTTATTTCTGATACAAGACCCTTGAGAGGTCTCTGTAAGAGCAAGTAGTTTGTAACAGACAGGACTGTGATCCGAACAGGTGGGTTTGCACATTCCCTTCAACCTGTTTGCAGCACTCTTCTGATGTATAACCTCTAGCCTGGAAGCAGCACTGAGCTGCTGGTGCTCAGAGCAGTGTGTAAGTGTTGTTGGAGCTCCTCTCTCATGCTGGTGCTGTTCCTTCTCTACATGTAGGTGGTTGACTTTGCCCAAGGTGCACATCAGTAGCTAAATCAGACCCAGAGCTGCTGAGCATAGGAGCACTTGTTACCTGTGCTTAGCTGTGTGGAGCACTAAGACAATTTCACCTTTCATGTCAGCAATTTATTGTCAACTGTATTAATGCCTCTTCATATTGTATTTTTATTAGGATACACCAGAAGCTAGAGCTTTTGTTAACCTGTCACATTAATTGCAACTTCCAAATATTCTTGTTTAGGATTTTTTTATCCCACAACTGATTGGAAAAGACCTCTTTGAGATCTGGCAAGTTGTAAATCCTATGGGCTTACTAGTGGAAGAACTGACCAAGAGGAATATCTCTTCTCCAGAACCAAGAATTACCAGGCAGTTGGGAGTCAGCACGGTTCTGCCGGTGTACTTTGTTGGGTTGTACTGGTTAGTACAATATTAATATAAAGTGAAATGGATTTAAGCTGGGGAGGAGGGAAGAGGCTCTTTTGCTTTTCTACTTGTGCTCTTTGGACAAATTGTTACAGAAAAAAAAATCTTAAAGGGACTTCCTTATAAAATCAGGCGTTAAAGCACTGGCCTTTATCATTGCTTGCTGTAATGATGCATAAAAAGACAGTCTCTGACTAAAGGGCTTCAGAGCCAAAACTGGGCATACAAAAAAAGAGTCTGGGTGTATGTTCTGAGTGATCTGCAGAGGAACTTTGTGAATGGCATAACTGAATGGCTTTGGAGGGACCAAAGCTGTATCCAGGGCTTAGGGAAGTGTAAAGAGACACAGACATCAAAAGAGGTGGGATTGAGGAAAGCCTTATTTTATATTCCAGATAAACTTTCTAGTTTTCAAATCATGGGCACTATAAACTAGGCAAGAAGAGTGTCTGTATCCAGACAAGACTTGGAAAAAGCCAGTCATCTCTAGTGTGCTTGTGTCAGGCGTTGTCAGTGCGTGTCCTTGTGTCTTGCCCAGGGGTGATTTTGTTCCTCTGAACCACAACAGGACCTTCTTCCACCAAAACCCACATCATTGTTGCTTTGCTTAATGAGCTGCAGATAAATGCATGGGAAGATTGTCTTAACTTGTTCTGATTTATTGTGCTTTGGTTTATGTGTCTTCTAAGATTTATTATATAATGAAAGGAACTTTGATTGTTTTTCTTTGAAACCCATGTTATCTCTTCAGAAACCGTTCCTATTCAATGGCCATGAATGTTGATTAAATAGAGCTAAGTACATACTTCATAACATAGGGAACTTCTCTGTGAATCCTTTTAAAGAAGTTTTAAAATGCTTTCCTACCAAGAGAGGAAAAAAGAAACATTTCACTTCTTTGTTTAAGTTAATCAGAGTCATGAGTTTGCATAATTTTAATAGATCCAACAAATTGACCACTGTAAAGAAGCAGTGATTTGTTGGAAATCTAAAGGAACAGAGTAGTGTTCTTCCAGGAAGAGGATGCATTTCT